TTATCTATTGGAATGACTTATAAATATTTATATTCTCTTTTCTCCAAAGTCTTCCCTTTCAGAATGCTTATTAAATTTCTCTAGATCAGAATTCTCAGGAATTTATCCTGTTGTCCTCCAGCGTCTGTCTCTCTCCACTTGTAGGACCTCTTTTCTCCAGTTTCTGAAAGTTCATAATGTTCTTCTGGGTGCGATGCACTTTTATTCCTAGTGGTGAGTCTAATGTCTTTAGATTCTGGGAAGTTTTCTTGAATTATTCCTTTGAATCCCTCTGCTTCTATTGTTTTCTTTATTTTTAATGGTTGGATCTCCTATCTTGGTTCTTTATAAAAATATTTAGATCTTTTTCCTCTTGTTTTTTCTCTTTTTGTCTTTATTCTACTTTCTTAGAAACTTCCTCACATTTATTGTCTATCCTTTCTATTGGGTTTTTCATTTCTGCTATGTTGTTTTCAATTTATAATAAGTTTTTTGTTTTCTCAGTGTTCTTTTTTATAGAGTCCTATTTATTTCTTATTTCTCTGGAAATAAGAACACTCTTAGAAGTTTTCTTCCTTTTGCATAATCTCCAATTTGCTTTATTCTTCTGTTATAATAGATATTAGAATAAATGTCATAAGCTTTCTTCAAATTTCTACCAAGCTTTGGATACCTATTCATATTCATCAGAATATTTTGATATTTAGGTCATTTTTCTGGGGCTGATAAGATTTCTCAGAAAGTGTTCTTCCAGTCTCATGCTTTCTGGAAAGCAAGAAGAGGAAGAAAGCCTGAAGATCAGTTTGTCAGGCAGTATTTCTGCTCTCAACTGGATCTGTTACCTCACAACCTTCTGCATTTTACCTCCTTCAGAGAATAAAGCTCTAGTTTTCTGCTGGAGTGGGAAGATAAGAGAGCATTGCCCAGCTGTGTGGGAAGGAAGAGACCTGGGAATATCTGTCTATTTCTTAAACAGCCTTTAAACTGATCATTTGGTTTTAACCTCAGCTTTATACCCACTTTCAGAAGTTTCCTTACCACAAATTCTTGAGCCTTTGGGGAATTTTGCAGTGTAAACTAGGTTGCATCTTTGTTTTTCATACTACCAATTTAGGCTCTGATGTTTTCAGATCTGCTAAATCAGTTTGCACTCACCCATATACTTTGCAGCTTTCAAACTCTTCTAGCTGCTATTTCCTCTCCTGTTTTCTTTCTCTTTATGGATTTATGTCTTTATTACATATTTAACTATATTATTAACTACATATAGTTATATATGCTGTTATATGTAATATATGTACTATGTGTATATAGATATATACCATATATATGCTGTGTATAATGCTGTATGTATACACACACATACACACACATATAAAACTGCACTGTCATTTTTGTAGTTTTGGTTAGAACTAAGGTTAATGTGTGGTTTCAATCTGCTATTTATAACTGAAAGTTCAGATTAACTTTTTGTTTTATTTGATCATAAAACCAAACTGTTTACATGTGTATGGCCTTCAGATTTGTTGCTCATAAGATATGATCATTCACTCTAACTTTTAAAATTGAAGGAAGTATTAGTGTAGAGAAGCCATGGGCCTTCTAATGACCCCACTCCTCATCTCTGGATGCTAAAGGTACTGAATCAGGCATAGCATTCATAAAATAGCTTTTATTCCATAATTAGAAACAACTCTTACAATATACCAATGATATATTCTTGCCAAAGAAGTGAAACGTGGATGTCTGAATCACTTAATTTATAGAAAATGCAGGGGATAGAAAAACACATTAATGGACAATCAATAAAATCTGTATTGCAGGAAACACTAAAGCAAACAACCCCATTTCTTCAATGAAGAAATTTTAGACAAAATTAAAAAGAGAAAGAGGGAGAGGCCAGAGGATATTTGATATAATAAAATATACTTCAGATACATATCAGTCAATTATGTTGTATGGATGTTATTTGAATTGAACCAACAAATTATTTTTTTAAATTAAACAATTGGAAAAAATTTAAACATTATTCTAACAATATTTAAACAATATTGTTGATATTAAGGAATTATAATGACATTCAGTTATTTTTTTTAAGTCATTATCTTTTAATTCTTTGTAAATGACATAACATGTCATATAAGATGTTACTGTAAAGCTACAGTAACCAAGACAGTGTAGTATTGCTAAAAAAAAAAAAAAATAGGTGAATAGATCAGTGGAACAGATTACATAGCCCAGAAATAAACCCACACAGAGATAGTCAACTGATCTTTGGCGGAGGAGCAAAGGTAATACAAGGGAGAAAAGGTAGTCTTGAACAATGGGGCTAGAACAACTGGACATCAATGCAAATAAATGAATCTAGACACAGGCCTTACTCCCTTCGCAAAAATTGACTCAAAATGGATCACAGACCTAACTATAAAATGGAAAACTGTAAAACTAGTATTATAAGAGAATATCTAGATGACCTTGGGTTTGGCAATGACTTTTTAGATACAACAATTATTTATAATTGCCAAAATTTGGAAGCAACT